ATGTATTATTTACATATTGCTCAGGGGCTGAGTCTTGAAATTCCAGGCGATTTGCTGTGCAGAAAAACACCATGGAACTTTGTTACTTATCCAGACAGACCCTCTTTCCTAAAACTTTAGCTTAATGTCTTTCCTGCGTTGTCATTTATATACATGTGTGCGTACGTCACTATATATACACAGGTATAATGTTTTATACACATACACACATGCACATGTATTTGTGTATGTGGCGTGTTTACTGAAACATAGTTTTGAATTGAACAGCTAATTAATGAAAACATGTCCTTTGGTCAAGTCATTCTACCAAGTTTTATTACACTCATCTCTATTCTCCTGTCCCTGATGCTACCTCACTAAGACAAAGCTCATCACCACAAGCTGGAGTCCTCAGATCTACCTTTTATGGGCCCTTTATTCACCATGCATTTGGCTACAAGAGCAGTTCCTCTAAAGCACCGCCCCGATCATTCCCCTCCGTACCTGGAGAGCCTCTCACAGCTGCCTAATTGTGCCCAGGTCTGCTAGGTGCTTGCCGATATTCCTTTATAACCCAAACTCACTTTACTTCTGGGTGGCAAAGCACCCAGCTACATTTTCCAGCTTCTTTTGCAACTAGGAGTCTGTGATTGTAGGTAGAATTTGTTGGGTGGGAATTCTGGTAAGTTCTCCTAAGGAGGAAAAGCAGAGCTGATAATGGGTGCCTCTTTATCACCCTCCTCCCATCTTTCCTGCTGCCTAGGACTCATATGTGAGGGCTGGAGCTCCAGCAGCTATCTTGGAGCAAGAGATAAACTTAAGGGTAAAATCATCTTGCTAAGAATAGAAATATAGAAAGATAGAGTCCCACCTGCTGCCCTGGAAAGAAAAACACAAACACCTTTGTGTATTTATCACTGTGTGTTTTTTTGTTATGGGCAGGCGCCAGAGAGTTTGTTCTCTCCACAAATTTAGCTATTTTTCCAATCCAGCAAAAGTAATATATTGATTAGTTTCAACCCATTGCTGCTCTTTGTAAGGCAGGGGCTTAGAAAGATGTGAGTTAAGTCCCAGCCCTGCCCACAGTGACAGTGCTGTCTTTAGGACTGCTTGTTTTATTTTCAGTTTCCTTGTCTGGAAACCAAGAAAAATAATTTACACATGAAAGTGTCTGTTATTTTTCTTTCATCCTGATTTTTAGTTGTTATGAGCCCAATAGCACCAATAAGGAAACAGCTAGGAGGAGGGAAAGGAGATAAAATTCAAATCAGGATATTTTCTCACTTATTAACAGCCTTTCTAAGCAGTTTAGTGGCTGAAAAGCTTCAGGTTGCTGATTTAAAAAAGTCAGTGGGCTCTTGCCAGATCTTAGCTCCTGTAAATAGCGCTGCTATGAGCATAGAGGTGCATATATTCTTTCTGATTGGCGTTTCAGGATTCTTAGGATATATTCCTAGAAGTGGGATCACTGGTCAAATGAGATATCATGGAGGGACCTGGAACAGTATCATGCTAAGCAAAATAAGCCAGTCAGAGAAAGACAAGTCTCACATGATCTCACTCATCTGTGGAATCTAATGAACAAAATGAACTGGCAAACAAAATAGATCCAGAGACATGGAAGCATGGAACAGATTCACAAATCTCAGAGGGAAGGGGAAAGGCGGGAGGAGGGGATGGGGAAAGAGACTGACCGAAGAACTGATATGCATATGTGCAAACCCATGGACAGAGACAATAGTGTGGTGAAGGCCCAGGGCTGGGGGGAGGAGTGGGGTGGAGAGGATCAATGGGGGTAAAAAGGCTACATCTGTAATACTTTCAATAATAAAGATAAATTTTTTAAAAAGTCAATGGAAAAAAATATCAATAGACTGTGCTTCAATTATTGACATTTTACCTTCACTCTCACTCATATGAATAGCAGAAATGTGACTACACAAGTTGCATTTCATAAGACGACTTGACCTAGTAAGTAAATAAACACATACATACATATATTTCAAAAACGTTGGCTCCAGGAAAATCACTTGCCCTAAGTCACCGAAATGGAGAAGACACACAATTGCGTCTTGGTACTTTCCATTTGGATAGGTTGTCTCTTGAAGATTTGAAGAAACAGTTCCTTTCAAATGAACACAGACTTGCAAAAAAGTGAGTTTTGCGAAAAAGCAGATTCTGCAAACTCTTACATTGTGTGCTTTCATTTCTGCTCTTAGGCACATTAAAGTGAATTGGTTATATAAAAATCTCTTGCTAAATTGAATTTAATTTGATTAGGAAATTTGCGTGTACGTGCAGGCAAAGCTCGGTAATTGTGAATTTTAAAAATGTCCTGGTTATTGAAAATGTTCTTTTTTACGTAAGTTTTGCCATAGCTTCATTAGGGAACTAAATTTTTGTCAGTGTGGATGTGCATTGGGAATTAAATAGGCCATGGCTCTTGGATGGGAAATCACTCAAGGAGTAGACGGTTTGTCCTTTCTGAAGAGGAATAACAGCCTTAAAAGCTGGAACACTGGAGTAGCTTTCAATCCTTCCTGCTCTGGCTCGATGGGACCCTCTCTGCATTTCCTAGCTCTGTCATTATTTCCTTTAAAAAACAAATTTCTTGGTCTTCCCAGCCCCAGTTTCCTCATCAGGCTCTAGGAGGCAGAGTTGGCTGCTGGGTCCTACTGCCCTGGCCCATGTCCTCAACCCATTTCAACAAAATAATGACCTTCCTTATTACTGCCTGATTTCTAAAACACACAAATAGAAAAATTTAAATAGAGCTGGTTCAAAGTATCTCAGAGGGAAGAAAGTGCTTTTCAGAGGGTCAAAGTGCCTTACTGCAATGGTACAAGTCCATGGCCAGTCATTTGAGAATACCTGACACATATCAAAAGCAAAAAACTAAATCCATCTGTAGTTTATTATTATTTTTTAAAATATATTTTTATTGTTTTCAGAGAGTAGAAGGGAGAGGGGGAGAGAGAGACAGAAACATCAATGATGAGAGAGTCATTGATCGGCTGCCTCCTGCATGCCCCCGACTGGGGATCGAGCCCGCAACCTGGGCATGTGCCCTCACCGGGAATCGAACCATGATCTCCTGGATCATGGGTCAGTGTTCAACCGCTGAGCCACGCCTGGTCGGGCTGTCACTTATTTTATCCTGCCATTGAGGCCTGTCTTCCGACCTCAGTCACCAGAGGTTCCACTCTGCTAAGATATATGACAAGGTACCTTGCATTTTATAGGTCATGAAAAAGCATTCAGATAAGGCAGCAAAGGATTAAACAATTATGGAGAATTTCCCAGTATTGGCAATATTACATGTCCAAGTAATGAATGAATCGAGTATCACACTTGAGGTTTCCATTCCCAGAACTCCCATATCATCCGTTAGCCACATTATAGGACAGAAGACCCCAAAAGGTATTCAATGGTTCTATTGTCTGGAATTACCTGTCTTTCTCCCCCCTCTTGTTTTGGTGGTTACTGAACAAAAAAAGGGTTGGAAAAGCAGCATGGTCTCCTCTTTTCTGAAACTCTGCGTGGTGACCTTGGATCCTACTTAATAAATAGCCTACATAGCATTAAGGAAAGTCATCAGTATTTTCAGCTTATAAGAATGTTCATCAGTATTTTTATTCATTTGATGTCTAGTATGTTTACTTTATTTCCCCTCTGTTTTTATACAACATTTCTATCACCTCCAGAAAATTCCCCTGTGGCTCTTCCCAGTTAATCCACTCCTCTTACCGAGGGAACCACTGTTGTGATTCCTATCACCATAGATTAGTTGTGCCTTTTCTAGAACTATGTACAAATGAATGAACACAGCGAGAACTCTTTAGTGTCTAGTGTCTCATGTTTTTGGTGTATATAAAAATCACCTCTTAGTTTCCTTATCTGTGAATTGAGGGGACCTCCCTGCAAGAACAGTGTAAGGTATTCTGAGCAGTGGCCGGTTTCCTGGGAGCTGTGAGGGACCTGACAAGTCACCTAGACTGGGGGTGGGTGCAGAGGAAGCTGGAGTGGGGTCTGCAGCACCCTCTCATCTGTATACAAAACAGCTGTACTTTTCCATGTCTTACAAATTGGGGTTCACTGAAAGATTTCATTTGGGAAAAGGATTCTTTGTAAAAAAAAAAAAAAAAAAAGAGAACCACAGGTCTAGACAATCCTTACTGATCCCTTTCCCTGAACATCCTATAAATTACAAATAGTGTTTTCTGATATGAGAGCCGTGACTGGCCCTCTGGAGAGAAGGCTGGGAGACAGAGGCAGCCAGACTGGGGGCCCCCAGGGAGGGCCTGGGCACTGAGCGCTGTAATATTAGTACTGGTTACCATCAGATAGCACCACCCCTAACTGAGGCACCCAGACAATAGGCCAGGGGCCCTGGGCCAGAGGAGGCACAAAGACAGCATTCAAAAGACCCGGCTCCCACAGCCAGCGAGCATTTCCATAGACTCCACCAGACGCTGGCCCCGCCGGAATGTCACCTTACAGCCAGAAAGCCACTTTTCTTCATGGGTAACTCTTAAACTACTAGAGATACTAACACAGCAAGGGAAGTGCTGAAACAACCTTCATTGCAGAGACAAACTGAAGCTGTTATAACGTAAACACCTGGGAAGGACAAGCATTCAGGGGGCTTGTCAGCCAGGACAGGGGATCCTCACGGCACGGGTGCTTGTGTCCTATCTCCCGTGCTCCAACCACAGGCTGATGTAATTCTCAGGCCTTTTAACACGCAAAAGAGAGACTGGGGAAGGCTGTTGGATCTTCATCGGGCACAGTTTTCCCACATAACAAGCGAAAAAAGGGCTCCGTTCTCTCCCCATCTTATCAGTGCTCTTCTTCCCCCAGTGAATCTGTAGCATTCCTTTACTCCAATTATTATTATTATTATTATTATTATTTTAGCCCATTTTTCTGAATACATACAGAATTCAAAACTATGTTAAAGATCAACAGCAGCAAAGCCACAAATTAGATCATTCCCATAACACTGAAAAGTGACAATTAACCTGAGAGATCACGAGGCTGCCAACACCCGAGTCAGGCCCGATATCTGACCTTCTGATCCATGAAATCACGTGTGGAACTTGGCACCCACGCAGGACGGCCAATGGGAGGGAAACCGCAGATCTGGAAGAAAGGAAACACAAGAAAATAAATAGAAGTGCTTTTTTTTTTTTTTTTTTTTTTTTTTTTTCT